TGCCCGGCGCCCCACCCCACCACGACGCGTCCCGCCCAAGGGGTATAGTGCTCGCGCGTACTGGTGGCGGCAGCCGCAGTGGTGCTGTGCGTTCGTTTGCTGCGCTGTCGCCAGGGGGCACACTCGTTAAAAGCGTGTGGGCAAGATGCAGCAAAATTTACTAAGTACAGAAGCACTGTAATACGAAGTGTGATACTTTTCACACATTTTCGTGCGATAAAATTTTCTGTGTGATTCCCATAATTTATTACTCCTGGGGGTGTGATGAACTTTTATCACGACATTGCGTGATACTCATTGCAAAATAATTCGATGATTCTGGATTTATCTCAAGACGGTGTGACGCATATTGCACAAAACTATGATACATCGAAGTGTCGCTCAAATAAGTGATGGTCATCACAAATATAAGAAATGAATTTAATATTACACTTTTCCTGCGATTATCATCACAGCGTCGTGCAATATTTCTGTGTCACAGAAAACGTGCAGTCAGTATCGCACTCCGATTTACAGTGAGGGGAGGGGGGCGGTGCTGCTTCATTCGCTGGCTGGAGTTTTATCCTCCCGTTTGTCCGTCTGTCCGTATGACTGCAGGCATTCGTGTGTTTGGTGCGCGGTTTCTCGCCAAAACGCCGACTTGAGTTGCTTGAGTATTCCATCGAAAGTCTCTTTCCCGAGGATGTTAAACACATGTTGTCGAACGCGATATTATCCCCGTACCCTGATAGGCACCCATGCGTGCACTACCATTCCTCGACGGAAACAACCTATGGTTGGAACCAGAGCAGACAGGGCCTTTTTCCATCTCTCCTAATATGGCTCCCGTTTGTTATTCTGTTCTTGTTCCATTATGAGGCGTGGCCGGCCTGGCCTGCCGAGAGGATGGGGTGGTGTGATGTTGACGGCGCAGGGTGGTAAAGGGGGGGCGGGTATTACAAGACGGAACGTTTAACATGTTAATGCACTCAGCATCAAGGTCTCACCAGGGAGCAGCTAGAGGTCTACTTGACCTAGGATGTCACGCCCTACTGTACCCACTCTTCGCTATTCGCGCACGAACAATGCCACTACTATATCGGGTCACCAACTCATTGATACGGGTGACGTCTTTGTTTTTCTTTCGGTCTTTCTACAATTATGTCAGTTTCCCAACAATCTCGACAATTTTCAACGTAACGTTTTCGGCCACCCCTTCTCGGTTTGTTCTAGAAACTTGTTCAGGCGTGCGTGTTCAGTTGTTTCTACAAAATTGTACATGTGTTCCCGTTCAGTTGGGTTAGAATTGTTCAAAATTTCTAATCATGTTCGTTTGAATATGAAGCTGTTCGCTTATCTGTAGTCAGTCAATACTACGGTGATCCATTACTGCGTGTACTAAAGATCTGCTTTTTCTTTTCTTTCCAGGTGAGTACGGTTGTTGCGGGCCGCAATGTCGGATATGGAGTGGCGAAGTTTGTTCCACATCTATGCGTAAGCTGCTACTGTCATGAAACTGACAATTACTGTATCGTTTTGTTTTAAATTCAGCTCAGCACGCTACCATGGCGATTTTTTTGTCAGTGCCTACGGCCAAAGCCAAAGGTGCGCATCGCTAGGCCAGATAAATTTATTGTAGTTTATTTAGTAACTATATTTAATTGTGGCGGGCGTTATCCCCCGCATTATAACTAGCCTTCATTACCTAGGGTCAGGTCGGGGGAAAGCGACACTTCTTCTCTCGTAATGGTATAGATGGCAATAAAAATATTTTTCTTTTAAAAACCCACTAGTTAAGTCACCACCAAACGCAGGAACAGACATTAAATTTTCCAATTGTTGCAAGCTAGTTCTCCCTATATGAGTTGTACCATTCTATCCCCGTGTCTCATTTTTCCCGACCTGACCGCCCACCGTTTTCCGTAGCTAGCCGTAAGTCACAATATTGTCTGCAGCACAATGAGACTTGTTTACTGCTCCCTATATAGACAGTTGGACGATGGTAGTGCAGTCGATATTCAAAACTAGTGATTGCATCGATTCACGCGAAATGTCAGTTTTAAGAACAATAATAATTAGAGAATTGTGAAACGTGTGGCAGTTAACGGTCGTGAAAGATATTGCAGCGAACGATGAGCCAGAAAACCATCAATCGGCATTGGCTACGTTCTTCTAGGTTTTCCGATCATAGAAGCGATAGTCTCGCGAAACTGTATTGAATCTTCAAATTGTAAAAGAAATTCTAAAACGATAGTTTTATATGGTAGACTGGCTCTTGAGTGATATTAGAAATAGTCTTATTTTTTAAATCCGCACGATATTATTTGCCAAGTTTTCCGATTCTTTATCGAAAGTTATTGAGAGGGGAGAGGATTTTCACATTGCATCTACAAGTGTGCGACATCCACACACTTTGGGCTGGTTTTGGTGTGTAGGCAATGCACTGAACCTGGTGGCGATGGTCCCTCACCGCCTTGACCACGGACTTGCTAACGGGCGAAGGCTGTGTGGTGCCGAGGACGATCTGAAGCATCCTTCTGGCTTCTCACCTGCGTTGGCTGCTAGAGTAGGCTGTACCACCACCGCCAGCAGCTGGCTGATTTGGGCTGTACCAGCTGCTAGAGCGTGCTTATACCAGCCGCTGGAGAGGCTGCCAATGAATGAACACGCGTCGGCGGGTCGGCGTCAACCAGTCAGCCTCGAGACTCGGATCACGGCCAGCGCCACGTCATGTTGAGAATAACATACATGCTAAATATATTCCGATTGCCTTGCGTATTGAGTGAGAATGGCGTAATAAAACGCCACCACACGGCAGGTTTGAAAAATTGTATCGGTAGTAGAGTTTGAGAATAAGTTGCTTACTACCGGAGGGGCTATTTTGTTCCAAAAATGGACGCTATATCGTGCACATACTTCACTGTGACAAAAATTTAAAACGTTTGAAAGATAATTTGTTCCAGCTAGGATACAATGCGTATTAATGATCAAAACATACAGTCAGTATTCCTGCTGTTTACAAACCTAACATAATAAATGACAAAGAGCAGCAAACAATTAGTTACTAAATGATATTGTGACTTTGATATCACAGTGCCTGTGTGTGTGTGTGTGTGTGTGTGTGTGTGTGTGTGCGTGTGCGTGTGCGTGTGTGTGTATCTTGTTTCGATGGACCGTGACTCCCTCCCAAGAGGAACACAACACGCGAGGTGTACGCCACCGGCGCATCGGCGCCCCCAGGCAAAAAGGAAACTGCACTGTTAATTTCCACCATTTTTGTATTTTCGATTTACGAATTTGTTTGTAAATTTACAACAGCCCATTTTTCATTGAATTTCCAGTCAATGCAGAGTGCTTGTAATTTTAAAATTTCATTTTGTTATTCTGTAACACACTTGGCAAATTTTTCTGAAACCCTTACAAATTTTTCACAGTGTGCTTAGTAGAAGCACCCAACTCAAGTCCTCTGAAGTTTTCGATAAAATTAAAGGTTGCGTAAAGCTGTTCTTTACTCTGAGGTAGGCAATTATGGTTGTAAAGTTAAGGGCACAAATTTTGTGAAATCCCACTTCTTAGTAAAAATTCGAGCATTTTGTCGTATCTGTTTCGAAAAGTTGTAGACAAGTCGTATTATTTCTGAAGTTTATCAATTTTTAATGACGACGAAAGCGCTGTGATTTTCGAAAAAAAATCATGCAGAGTTCAGGCAACTTGTTTTCACAATGATTTCTTCTAAAGTTCTGCCTTTTTTAAAACAGTGTACTGAGTAGTACCTCTTATTTTAATATTCTAGTGAGCTTCGGGACTGGCGCACTCCCTGCCTACCTTGGCAAAATGAAGAGCTCAGAACACCTACCCGACCGTTCGGTGGCTCAAACGGCTCCTCAGCACACTTGTAGCGCCACGCCGGTGCAAGCTACTGGCCGCGGGCGCAGCACGAAAATGATTAGAATGGAAGCAAAGTGTTTGGACCGAGCTGAGCCGAGCTGAGCCGAGCCGAGCTGTGACTGGGCGGGCACAAGGTCGCGATGGTCAACTGTTGGATGAGCCGGCGATACCCCGCGTCCCCTCCTTCCTGTCTCCCCCCACGATCTCTCTGTCTCTCTCTCCGTGTCATACTCCAACTTGCTTATTAACATATTTTCATCTCTCTCGCTCTCTCGCCCTCTCTCGCCCCCTCCCTCCCCCCTTCCTCGCCCCCTCTCTTTCCTTACTTCCACAGTCGGTGCCACGCTCCTCGAGCGACCGCCCGGCTGGGCCGCCAGGCTGGGCCGGCCGGCCGGCTCCACTCCCAGTCTCAGTCTCGCACGTGTCTACCACAGACAGCCTGCACGGCCGGCGGCGGCCGTCTTCGTGACTGTGTTGGCACCTCGCGCTCCGCGAAACTCGTGTCCCGTGGAGCCCTACCCTACATCGAACTAAACGTTCGTCGAATGCGCACGACTTTTGTCCCAGCTCAAAATGAGATATTGCCCTTCAATTGGTTTTTAGTGCTACGCACTACTAAACGTACCAAACTCAGTTTTTCGCAGATTTTTCTTGGAACCCAGTCTACATAGAATCAGAGTGCCCAAAAAGCCCCTCCCCCTCCCCCGGTCTGTCTGTCTACTGGACTGTCCAGTTGTGAGACGATGGTGGTGAGAAGGCATCGAACTCTGCCTTTTTCTGCCGGCGACAGCCGCGCCCCGCCCGCCCTGCACTGCAACACCAGCGCCTCGCTATCAGCTGACCGAGTGACAACGGCTCAGGCTGCTGCCGGCCGAGCCAGAAGAGGCGAGGAGGTTGCGGCCCGTCCCGCCGAGTGGTGAGCTCGCGATGTCCGACCCCGAGACGAGTACCAGGGCCTCGTGGGGTTCCCCGGACGACTTATGGCGGCTTGCCGGGGCGTGGTGCGAGGCCCACATGCGGCCCTGGTCGGCGCCAGCCCCGCCGGTGAGGCCCACCGCCCCACCTCTCCCCTCTCCCGGAGACGAGTCTGAGCGCCCGCAGCAGCGAACAGAAGAGCATGACGAAGAGGAGGAGGAGGAGGTGATGGCCGCAGCGGTGGCGTTACTTAGCGGCCCGGAGGCTTCTGGAGGGGTGGAGGCTCCCACCAACGGCGGCCACCTCCCCTTTTACCGAGAGCGGTCGCTGTACTTCAAGCTTGGCATCAGAGAGGCGCTGTACGGCCACGACGAAGATGTGGAAATGGGGGAAATACGGTATGCTGTGTGAGGCACTAACCTCATCCCCTGCAAATCTCCCGCAGAGGAGTTTAAGTAATATTGGGTATTTAGTCTCGTGACGCCTCGCGTCCAGTCTCGCCTTTGAATAAAACTGACTTGTGTTATTTATTGTGATGGCCCGACAATTCGCTGTTCGCTTACAGGAGTGACACGAGTGGTTTTGAGGGTGGCGTAGTGGGCTGTGCTGTAGGATGGTGAGGGAAGCCCCCCTCCCCCAGTGCAGCGGACTTCCCTCTACCCGCTTTGCACGATGATGGTGTCCTCTCGTTAAGAGTGTTGGTGCAGGCGCCTTTTACCTCGCTATGATTTTGTTTTCCTTGTTTCTTCCCCTCCTTTATCGCGGTCCCCCGCTAACACACACTGCAAGCTCTATCTTGCTAACCGGGCCCTTACTTATGACATATTTTGGTGCCCTCTAAAATTTTGTCAAATAGATTTCGCACACAAATTTAATTTTAAAAAAATATAGCAGGAACTAGAATAGCTCCATGTAGGTGTCATAACATTGACTGAATTGGTGACGTGGATGTTGGAATGTGTTACACCTCGTGTTCGAGTCTCATTGTGTGTCTGTTTCAGGCTGGCGGCGGCGCAGGAGGCAGCGGCTCAACACCGTGCAGGACGTGAGTCTCCGGGGGGCCTCCAGAGCAGCATGGGGGGCCCTCACGGGGGCGGGGGCCACGGGCCCCCCCTCGACGGCCCCTCCTCGCTGTTTCTGTTCAACGAGGGGAATCCCATCCGCAAATACACACGCTTCATCATCGAGTGGCCATATCCTTTACTGCTGCATCTTTAACAATGATAATGTGAATTATGTGAATTGCCTTATAGAGCTTAGAGTTAGATGAACGCCTCGGGAAAGTGCGCTCATACATTTGATGTAGGGGTGATTTTTTTCGTGTATTGTCGTGTTCACTCTAAAAGTAAAAGTACAACTTTGTCTGCAAGGAAAGGAAGGAAATCGAGTTTATCGAACCTGACACATATTTGGATATTCTCAAACACCTTGCGTTTTTGCGGACAAAGTTTGTCCTCTTCATTTAGAGTGCACTGTGCTCACAAATAATGATTCTTATCTGATTGTCGATGTAAAGTAGTCAAGCAAGTTTGTGATTAAAACAAAAAAAAATTGTTGTACAAGTAATAATTCGACTTCGGTGGATATTTTTTTTTTTTTTTGGGGGGGGGGGGTCTTAAGAAAGGTGTGTCCGTATACTGCAAAACAGAACTGTCTCCTGGTTGTTCCTTAACCCATCTCGCACTCCGTTTGAGTATGCCGTGCTGCTTACTATTATCGCCAACTGCGTGGTGCTCGCCTTGGAGGAGCACTTACCGGAGGGCGACAAGACCATCTTGGCACAGAAACTGGTAAGATGTGGCCTCCTAATGACTATGGACATTCTTTAACCGTCCATGAAATATTCTAATCGGAACTACTAACGTTCATTAGCAGATATAAAGTCACTCCCTAGTACTTACATTCAAATTTAGAAATCCACCCCGTAAAACCTGACCAATGATAGCCCTAAAAGTACATATTATTTTTCTTATTTTTCATAAAAGAAGTCATATTATGATGCTGTTGGTGTTATTTGCCCTACCCGTAATTTTCCGACGCATGCAGAAGGGAGTGCGAAAATTGTGTGGGCTGGCAATTCTATAGCCCCCTTCCACTTTCCAATTTGAAAGATCAATAACATTGTCCGGGCAGTTTAGTTTGCTATCCAGCACTTGGATCCTTTACTAAGCAAAACAAATACCCTATACCACCGTATACCACATGCGTATCTAACAGGGCTCCTTTCTTTACAGGAAAAGACGGAGCCGTACTTCCTGGGTATCTTCTGTGTTGAAGCATCCCTCAAAATTTTAGCATTAGGTTTTGCACTCCATCGCGGTTCGTATCTTCGTAACGTTTGGAACATAATGGATTTCTTCGTAGTCGTCACTGGGTGAGTGGTTATAACAGTTTTACGCTTTGATAAATGATCACATATGTTGGCAGTTTCCTGTTCGACCGCCGATTTGGTTAATACAGCTACTTTAATAAATATTGTACGTTTACCAGACTCATCAGAAGAACAAAATTTAAGTGGTGACATAAAATATTTTATCCAATACAAACATTCTCGGGCAAAGGCGCGATTTTTGCTAATTACAGGTATTCTTGGAACATACCGCTAACAATGAAAACTATGCCACGTTTCTCACTGTAAATAAAAAGTCGGAATTTTCCAACAAAATTCTGTCCGAATAGTTTGGAAACGCGATTTTCCAAACAGTTGTAGGAAAACAAAATTTCCAGTCCTGTTCTCGGAAATTTCCCAACAATTTGGAACAGAAAAAAGGAACTATTTTACACCAGAACCAAGTTTGGTAGCATCAAAAATGACAATTTGCCAATTTATTCAAAAATGTTAGTCAAACGTTTTTGGGAAATCTCTAAAAAATTTCAAAATTTCCAAGTAATTCGGAAAATTGTGTTTATAAACTGTTTGGATTTCAAATTTTCCAAACTGTTCGGGCTGCAAATTTTCGAGTTAATTAATCGGAAATTTCTGACAATACTTTTTACAGTGCTGGATTACACATTGCCCTTCCTCTTTGTTCTTCTCTTTGGGTCGCTAGTCTGTTTGTGATGAAACTTGGTGGAACAACGGCCTTACACACTTTAGCGAACCAGTTTGAGTTTCACCCCCAAAATTGTGTTCTCAATTCAAGATTATTTTGGGTGTTTGAGAAATCGACGCGATCCGCAGATATTTCGTTTTTGTCAGATATTGTTAATCCCAAAAACGAAATATTGATGTGTATTGTATTAACTTATCATTCCACGTAAATATTCTGGGTTACACGGAAAAAAAGGAATTAGTTGTCACAATAAATTAGCTAATTTTGGGATAGACAATAAATTCGTTGTGGCAGCTAACAGTTGGTTGCCACAGACAAGAGTTAGTTGCCACAGCGAAGCTGTCGCTGCAGGAGCCAATTGGTTCGTTCTGACAACGAAACACCCAATTAGTTGTGAGGACTAATTCTTTTTTTCCGTGTAGTAATTCAACTTTCGTATTCAGAGAGCACCGAGAATTCTTCTGGATGTCGCTACTGAAGTAAGTGTAGGTTTTATGTTATGTTGGCAGCAGAGGTCCATAACGAAACACTTATGTTACTTTTCACGGTGCAGTAACTGTCACACTTATGACTACCAACGAGTGAGTGCACGAAAAAAATGACTTCATTGTGAGGATCAGTTATGTTTGGTAGGCTAAATTCGATAATTGGAATCGAGAATCCGATACCGACAACCAAGGGTTGGTAGCCACGACCGGACACTTGTACGAAGAGAACTACAGATTGGTTATCTTCGTACTGGTGTCCGGTCGTGACAACCAGCTCTTGCTTGTGAGTATCAGATTCTCGATTCCAGTTATCAAATTTAGCGTACCAAACAAAACTGATCCCCACAACAAAGTCTTTTTTTCCGTGTGACTACTGCAACGTTAAGTTATATACTCTTCACATGTGTGCCGTGTCGAAGTCTCACATTCATTTGAATGTTTTTGACGTTGTTATTGAAAAATATTTGCTGTGCTACGTACTTAATACTTTAAATGTGGCTCGGAAAAACTCGATACCTGTCGTTTCGTGACCGTGCTCTAATGAGTCTTAAACCTCAAAGTATTTCAGCAATTGACGCGGAAGGGTTTATTTAGTTTCTAGTTTCATTCTCTTATTTTTAATAGGTTCCTGGATTGATCCTCATCTCTGAAATATTTTCACTTAACATTGTCTAGATACCTTTTTTTACAGGTTTTTAGGTTTTGTATCATTTGTGCTGTCTGGTAACTGTATCGAATGCAACGTGAGCACATTTTTATGGGACAGATATCAACAAAGAACAAATTTCTTCCTTTATAATGATAAAATTACCAAGTTCAATGTTACAAATAGCATGAATGCACATCATTGTTTTTATAGTATTTCCTGTTCCCAGACCTTTAATGTTACTGCCCACTTCTCTTCTAGCTTACCCAATAAAGTCAAGGGCAATTTTGTTTTCTCCTTCTCAATAAAAATTACCAACATTTCTACTTCTTTTACGCGAAGTTTTATCACGTCAACCATTGGTATTTCTCTTACCGAAATAATATTTTTTCTTAAAGATATTAAAATCTGGGATGTTTATTCCTTTTTTATTGCATGCCTCAGCTAAAGAAAAAAATCGTATCTAGAAGCTGTCATTCAATACCCCAAAACCAACTTAAAAAATTGTGTTCAGGTCGATGACCATATTCGCAGAATCGAATGTGGATGTCGATCTTCGGATGCTGCGATCATTCCGTGTATTGCGTCCATTGAAATTGGTGTCGAGAATCCCAAGTAAGTTGGCGGGCAGTGAGGAAAGCAAAATAAGGCGATATACCAATTAATTCAATTGAATCTGTAGTCGGCTAGAAAATATCACTTTTAAATGATGCTTGGTGTGTTCCCTTTGTTCCAAATACAAATGTAGCCCTTTATATCTATTTTACCGCTTTCTCTGGCATACGTAATTTCTAAGAATTTAACTTTGATAATGTGCTACCCACTGCCCTATGTGTCAATCGCTAATTTTGAATCCTAGCCGTCCTAGTATGGTCTTCGAAATCATTTATTCTAGACAAAAAAAAAGATTTAGTGACTCCATAGTGTCTTTATTATTTTAGAAGAGTGATTGTTGACCTCGATGTTAAAAGTTATCTTTCTTTAACACAACTTTGGTTATGTATTCTCTTTCATAATTTTAATATTTAATTTCGTCTTTGGATTATTGAGTTGAACAAGAAATAACAATATGAAATCTTGAGCAGATGAAGAGCATGGACTTAACTATTTTGAATGTAGCCTTTTCGTATTTACATGTTTAATTTCGAATATGTTAACAAATGAACTGTTAACTGTGTGTCAAAAACACCAGATGTTGTAGGCTCTTTGTACTCTAGATTTCCTTTTCTAGTATTTTCTTAAGTCCAGGAATTGTTTTTAAAAACTAGAGGTATTACAGAAGATATCTGGAAGACTACCTTAGTAAGAAGTTTAGTCTGGAAAAGCTGGAGATTGAACCTCATAGTTATAAAGACACCGTGACCGTGGGGCACCTCACTTTTTCAAACTATGTGAAGTCCTTAGTTCCACTCCTTTCTTATCATAATCATGTTTTGTGAGAGCTCAATTCTCTTAAAACAAGGTTATATAATCGATACGTATAATTCTTAAAAAGTTAGGCTCCATGAACAGCTGCTCTACTTTGTTCGAAGTTTTTTTTCGAATTGTTAACCGTTTGAGCACTTGGAATTCCCTTCTGCCCCCCACCAGTAAAACTCTGGACTGAGAAGTGAAGTACCCCAGCATAGTCTACCTACTCAGGGAAATTTAAAGGTTGCTGTTAACCTGTTGGCGCTGCAGGATTGTGTTAGTAGTATTTAAAAATATCTTAGGTTGTGCCACTGTTTTTTCCGATTGAACATATTTCTGACTTTCAGATGAGTTTTTCCAGTTTTTTCCAGAAGTGACGCTGTAGATGATGTAGGCGGCTGATTAATTGTAGGCTAGTGACTTTTCAGCTGTTAGCTATTTGGTCAGTGTTTAATTTTTCAGTGTTTTTAGTGTTGTCTCTTAATAACATTAGATTCTAGAAACCATATTACAAAGTCTTAGGCAATCTGAGGAAATTTTGTAGTATCCTGTTTACAGGGTAGTGCACATACCCCTTCCTCTATTCTACTTGTACTGAACCGCATGCAGGAATGTGGGCAGGTTGCGTACTCGCACGTGGTCGTTAGGCACCACGGTGATTGACGGTAGGCAAGCCCGCACGCACGTATACCGTACAGTCCTCGCAGATGAAAGGAAGGGGCCAGTAGACCACACTGTATAATGGTTGGTCTGTCTTTTACAAACCAGTTCATTATCAGTTTGCAGTTTCTTTGGCCTAAATATTAGAGTGGGTCGTAGGAAAAGGATTTTGGAAATTGAAAACGTAATAGTGCGGAAAAGTTGCCCTGGCCGATGGCAAATTCAACGCATTTTAACTTTTTGAGATCGGATAATATTTTTCGATCCCGCAGAGCGTTTAAAGGTTTGCATGGTTCTCTTATGGGGAAAAGGCTCAAAAAGTGAAATTTCTGATTTTCGGCTTTCCATCAAACGTTTTTCGTAAACGAATCTCAGAAATGCAATCTACGCACAAAAACGCATTCAATGATGTGCCACACTTGAAATTTGAGCGGAGCGTTCGGAGTCATTCAGGTGCCACTTAAACTTAAAACTTACACAAAAATGGCTTTGCTGGCCTAAATTTGCACTTACGACCGACTAAACCCTTCAGTCAAATTTCAAGTGTGCCACATCGCTAAACGCGTTTTTTCGCGTAGATTGCATTTCTGAGATTCGTTTTCAAAAAATGTTTGCTGGAAAGCCAAAAAACAGAAATTTCACTTTTTGAACCTTTTCCCCATAAGAGAACCATGCAAAACTTTAAACGATCTGCGGGATCGGAAAATATTATCCGATCTCAATAAATTAAAATGCGTTGAATTTGTCATCAGCCAGGGCAACTTTTCCGCACTATTACGTTTTCAATTTCCAAAATCCTTTTCCTACGACCCACTCTACTAAATATGACCTCTGTCCTGCCATTTATAGTCTCTGTTGCGGAATATGACCAACCACTGCTACCGTCTTGGTTTCACATGCCAAAATATTTGCTGAAGAGAATCAAGATTATACAATTTATTATAAAAAGCTTTATTTCCAGATACTTTTCACATTTTATTCGTCCTAAAATATTTTGTCGACATGCTAGAGAGTGAAGTAGATATATGTAGTACGCTAGTTGTTCAAATATTTTAGAAATTTAAATCAATGGTTTTAAGATGTAGTCTTTATTATCCTACAGATTGGAGCAAGTGCTCATGGTCGGTTTAGAGCTCGACCAGCACTGGAAATATTTTCAAAGTGCTAGTGTAGTTGGGACACTGACGTGTGCTTTTCACGCACCTTGATGGCCCTTCATTTTCTTCCATAATTTCTGAAAACACTTAACTGAGTTCACGAGTTACAATTTTTGTACAATAGCTTCGCGAACTTAAATTGTTATAAAATGCTGACGATTTCGCAAATTCACTTTCCTTGTCCTTGTCAAAATGAGTTTAAAACGTAAGAATAACAATCCCGGTCAATAAATTGCTGTGATGTGCAATGTGCACTGTGGCTGAGAGCGGATGCAGGGTGTAAGAACAAAAAATTAACGCAGAACTTTCGCTGGTTGGCAGCTATCAAGCAATTGTAACCTGTGTCTATCTTGGTGCCACATGCTCTTAGCGTGCACTTTGTGAAGGCGATGTTTAGCCGTATGTTGACCCATAGGGCTTGGCTTGCCCCTCGCAGGTTCGTCACGCTCTTCGGTGCCACGGCTGACCCACAGATTGACCTCAAGACCTTGAGGGCCATCCGAGTGCTCAGGCCTCTCAAACTAGTGTCGGGAATCCCTAGTGAGTAGTCTAGAGCACCAACTGCTTATCAGTATGGTGTAGTATTTGTTGCTCTTTAGACAAATCCTTAGCTCATTTAGTGACAGCTAAAGTAAATTGGTGTAGTCTAATCATACTGCTGCACCACCTTTCTCACTAATTGTTATCCCTTATCTTTCTAGTGTTTTCGAAGGTATTACACCTGTTTCACATTGTAGTTTACAACCTAAAAAAACTTCTTTAAACATCCCAACTTCAAATTTTAAACTTCAGACTCAAAATTTCTTTAAAAGCAGACCTCTTTTCTGGTTTTGATTGAGATATTAAGATATTTTATTTGGTTTTAGCTGCCTGTGTAAAATCTGTAATTGAAAAAAACAAACAAACATGTAGCTTTAGCGGAACATAACCATTTAATTTTGAGAAGGGATTGATTACCCCTGCAACTTAGTACCTTTTTAACATAAACTACTTTTGCATGCTCAAACTTATTATTCTTTGAGTTTGAAGTGTTAGCCTTTAAACTTAAATTAATGCTTTTCAGGTTTACAAGTTGTGTTGAAATCCATCATCAAAGCAATGGCTCCCCTTCTTCAGATTGGATTGCTTGTGTTATTTGCAATTGTGATCTTTGCCATAATTGGCTTAGAATTTTATTCTGGTGCTTTGCACAAAACATGTTATAAGCTAGAGGACTTGAGTAAGTAGACCTAATTCTCATTTGAAAAGATGAGAACATTTATTATCTATAGTTGTTGGTGTGGTTTTGATTAAATAAAATTTAAAACTTAAATTTCGGCCCATTTTGTATTCTAGATGAAATTGATAAGGAGGGGGAAGCCGAAACACCGTGTAACACAGATAATAAAACTGAGGCTCCGACCGGTAGTTATGTATGCAATTCCAATACATCAACATGTTTAGAAGAGTGGGATGGACCTAATTTTGGCATCACATCGTTCGACAATATAGGATTTGCTATGCTCACTGTGTTCCAATGCATCACAATGGAAGGCTGGACTACTATTTTGTATTGGGTAAGTGTCACGTCTACTCTAAACCAAAATCGACAGTTTGTATATTTTGGCTCTATTGCTTCTCCACATTATTTCTTCTGGTGCTAAAATATTTTTTTTTCTTTCAGACAAATGATGCACTAGGCAGCACTTTCAATTGGATTTACTTTGTTCCCCTTATTGTTTTGGGGTCTTTCTTCATGCTCAACTTAGTTCTTGGTGTTCTTAGTGGGTAAGTGTTCGAAATTATTGGACAATTTCAAGGTTGTATATATTTTTAATTTTAAAAAGACATTGACCACATCACAGACTGTAAGTTTGTTTAAATAATGGAACATGGACATTTTTAAGTGAAATCAATTCCGACAAATTTTTCATTTAAGTCATACTCATAATCTGTGATGTGTTCCCTTGCATTCCTTTTTTTTCTTGTTTGGCCATGACTTGGAACTTTAACAGTTTTAAATAATGTTATGATGAGCTGAAACAAGACTAAATTGGGGTATACATAGTACTGCCCACTGTATAATTAGTTATAACAAAACAAGTTTGGAATATGGCTGGTATCGCTCAAGATAGTTTTTGAATGGGTGACACCTGATGCCACGTGCTGCCTTGTCATGCAGCGAGTTCTCGAACGAGCGAGCTCGGGTGGAGCGCCGGGCCAAGTACCAGAGTGCGCGCACAAAGAAGTACATAAGCGATGCGCTGCGCACGTATCTGCAATGGATCGAACAAGCAGGTAGTGAGGGTAGCGTCGCGCCATGGCCGAAGGCTAATATAACTGGAAATCATGGAGGCATTACAAAATCTGCTTGATATTAGCCCTCTCTCACATTGATTGGATTATTCATAACCAATCAACCACATTCCTGTATCCATGCCAATTTTATGCCTTGTCAATTTGTATATTAGCTGTAAACCTCCATAAGAACTTAGAAAATATTTCACTTTTGAAATAGTCAATATCTATCTATTAAATATTGACATAGAAATGTGAGTCAGCGGGCAGTAGAAAGCCATGCAAGACAACACCTAAAATGCGTTACAATCCCAGTTGTCACTGTATCTGGCTACCTAGACAGCTTTCCCTAGGGCCTAGTCTTGTATGAGAGGCCTTTTTTGTGGAGTTTGGTTGGTCCCACACAGTAGGTAGATAACCCTCTGCCAAGAGGTATACAGACAGGTTGGTGGCTCACTTGCTCATAAATCAGGTAGTTGTGAGTCACATCAGTCCTGGAATCAGAAATGTTAAGTTCTATTTGATAAACTATTGGCCACACACGTGGCAAATGTAGTTTTGAAAAATTTAGGAAATATTGTGTGCATAGCCAGCCCCTACTTATTCTTAATTATCAAATTGTGTCGGTGACATCTAGAATTTGGAGCTACCCTCTTCTCACTTTTAGACCCTGCTGATCTCCCTAAAAGTGTTGCTACTTGGCTAGTCTCACTTGTATTATGTCGATGGCAGAAATGTCCTGCTTATAGTTTTGGCGTGCTTCCTTCCCAGTGAATTTGCTAAGGAGAGAGAAAAGGTGGAGAATCGACAAACTTTCCTAAAGCTGCGAAGGCATGCCCAGCTTGAAAAAGAACTCAACGGCTACGTAGACTGGATCTGCAAAGCGGGTAAGTGGAATTAAACGCCCAGATTCAAAAACTCAATTTCCAGGATGTTCGTCGATTTCTGCTTCTTCCCACTAATGTTATCAATGTGTTTTTTGATAACTACTTGGAGATGAAGATGTCTGTGAGGCCAGCTTTTCTTTCAACAGTAGTGTAAATTGAAATTGGTTAATGTAAACACTGTTGTTGATATTGTAGTTCCTATCAAAACACTAGACAGTTGATAAAAATTCCAATTTTACAACATTTGGACGGTTGTAATGTAAGTCTTCCCAGTTGTTACCCTCCGCGTTTTTAGCTTGCAGAGTTGACCCTTGTTTGAACCTATAAATTTATCTGACTATTAGTGTCTTAGATGTGGTACTATCTTAAAACAGAAATCATGTTGAATTTGGGTTAGCCTTAGAATAGGTTGTTAATTGTTCTGATTAAAATTTGCCCATTTCGCATACTAATGTAACTTCAAACTGGAGTCAAAACCTCATAGCTGTCACCATCCTTAAGCCTACAACTCCTGTTAATAACGTTATCCCAGATACTTTCCTCGGCAGGATAAAGTTATTTTCCATTTCATAAAAACTAATATAATTCCCGTTTACAGAGGAAGTTATACTCGCCGAAGAAAGAACAACCGAGGAGGAAAGAATGCACATCATAGAAGGTACTTATACTGATGTAATATTTAGTTTAACTTGCTGTTACTTCTATTTGCTGACCTTATGTTATTCCAGCTAGGAGAAGGGCTGCTGCCAAAAGAAAGAAACTAAAAAACTTAGGAAAAAGTAAAAGCACTGATACTGAAGAAGAGGCTGAGGAAGAAGAGGATGATGGGGAGGGTGAGTGCGCTGACGATGATATCTCAGGTCTGTCCCCTTTCTTTCTTGGCCTGTCTGTCTGTAGACAGCTGAGTGTGCTCTTCATCTTAGGATCCATTCTTGAGGATGTCTGTCTGTAGACAGCTGAGCGTACTTTTCATCTTAGGTTTCATCCTTGAAGATATCTGTCCTAGATTATAGCATAGATTCCCTAACTTTTTAACATAACATCCATACTGAGCAGTGGATATAGAAAAAGAGAACTAGTCCCGGCACTTACAAATATTCATGTTTTGTTTCTCTTATTTATCCCAGTTTGTTAGACAATGTAGTAGTGAGGTCTAAAAAATCTCTGTAACATTTTCCTTTTGCCTGGTTTGTTTAATACTAACATACTCTGGCAGAACATTTAGGAAAACGTTATTTTTATCTAAAAGCTCAGTTGACTGCATCTGAAGTTTTCCATTAAGTTATTATTAGATACGTTCGTATTAGATACCCAAAAGAGAAACCTTTGCTCTTGGAGTCAAACTACAATAACTAGCCTAAATCACGTTAAACTTTTTTTTGTCTTGTTTCAGTGGATAAAAAGGCCCTAAAAGGTATGATCAGTGAAATTGGAAAGAACCTGTATGGTTCTTCCATGGGTAGGATTCTGTGTTCTTTTGCTAGGCTGCTGTACAAATGCCTAATAACCCGAGCCTTTGGGGGGACAATGAAAGTTTATTTAAAACTGCGGGCATTGGTGTTTAAATGCTAATGCTAGTACTAACAGTACTATACAAAAATTCAGTTTGCCCCTTCAAGATAATTTACTTTGTAGAACACTAGTAGAATATTCGGTAGTCTAGATCTAAAGTTCATATGTTATACATGAAGGATTCTGCCCCTGCCTCAACGGTACACTGTTAAAAAAAGTTGTCTCGAGTATTCACCTAACTTTTTAGCATGTGATATAATTTATGTGTGAGTGCGTACCATCTCGAGAGAATAACTTAAAGTTATCCTCTTTTTGCAGTAAATCGTGGTTGTCCAGCAGCCTACCCCCTGTGCACCGCCCACCGCTGTCCGCCCCTCCTCCCCTTTTGAACGACTATTTTTCCGTAACCTTCCCCAGATTAAGCATAACCCCCTCTTTCCGCGGTGACTAGGAATTTTGTATTGTCGAATGGAAATTATGATATAGGTTTATTGGTACAGTGGACAAAACCATGTGGAGAAAGTAGAGCAAACAGCCCACCTTTCGTCAATTTTCTTGGTTTTCGCATTGTTAAAATCGGACGTCCGTACTACCATTTTGACCCACAAATATTTTCAACGAACCTTCGCCACACGGAACGTAGTTAATATCCATCCATTATAGCCATGACGTGGCGCAGTCCTGTTAGCCCAAGAATCAAATTCTACGTGTCTAAACAATTTCAGATTAAACCAGAGTTAATGTGAGCTTTCACAATTGCTTTTATCAAAATCTACCATCGCATCATTTGAGATTTTCCATTTAAACTATTTTGAAAATTAATAGAAAAAATATCTTTTTGTCTTACAAATTGAAAAGAGAACTTTATTCCATCCTCTTATCACCACATAGATGATGTATGTCAACTTACAAATCTCTTGCCACTCACCTTCCGTGATACTTTCATCACTCCTTTTTCACTCTTACATCTCGCAGTACTACATGCACCTAGGAATCTGCCCTTTGAAGAGCATACAACAAATATGAAATGTCACCTGTAGAAAAGTTCGTTTGGAGAATACTTTGGCATTGTACCGTGTACAGTCTGGGCAGAATCCTTCACATCCTACTATAAAGCCCAGTAAATATCATTATTATTGCATACTTTCAGTCTACTTTCCTCTGTGTTGGGAGTGATCAAGTTTTCCTCCTTGTCTCCTGTGAATCAAATTTTTGGTCGGGAGTAAAACTTTTACGTAAAAGTTATAATGTCCTGTATACCTGCCGTTTGCCGTTTAATCGTTCATTTCTCCAACCATTACAACTACCTTCAAATCATCTAAAAGAACTCTCAAATTACTTAGCAAAGTTGTGTTTAGAAGTTTCAAATGTAGAACGCTCAGCTACCTTAAGAGTGTGCCTTAGTCCTTGAATATTACTTAGTGAAAAGTTGAATGACGTTGTTGTTATGTGTAGACTCACAAGTACTATACCGTACTGAACTGTAAATAAAAGAAAATCTTTATCACAGCTAGAAATTATCTATCTAGATTGAAAGGTTAACATCTTTTATGTACTAACTATTTTGTTTGTGCTGTTGCAATTCTTGTCTTGAAGTACCTAACAAACGTGCCATCAATTAATGTTTAGCAGAAATTGTGTTATTTGCAACTTGCTTTTAAGGTGTTCGATGTAAATCGGTTATTATCAAATTAATCTGTTGATTACAGGCTACTCAAGAACCTCATATCTGAAAACAAAAGTTAAAAGTAAAGGAGCTTGTGTAGACTTTTGGAGAGCTGAGAAGAGGTTTAGGTTAGTAACAGTGCTACTTTTCTTTCTTTCCAGTATCTTAAATCATAGGTCATTTTTAGCGTTGTTTTTTTAAAACATCTTTATTTTTTGCAGATTTTGGATACGACATACCGTAAAAACCCAAGGCTTTTATTGGTTTGTCATTGTTTTGGTGTTCTTTAACACCGTTTGCGTAGCTGTTGAACATTACAATCAACCTCGTTTTCTTACTGATTTCCTACGTATGTTCCACCTTTTCTATACTTAACTATCTAAGTACATGCAACAAACTTACAATAATTACTTACTTTTATTTTACAGAGTATGCTGAATGGGGTTTCTTAGGACTTTTTATGATGGAGATGTTCATCAAAATGTACGCGTTGGGGCCACGTATATATTTTGAATCGGCCTTCAACCGTTTCGACTGCGTAGTTATCAGTGGATCTATCTTTGAAGTTATTTGGCAAAGTCTAAAATCGGGATCATTTGGGCTCTCAGTCCTCCGAGCACTCAGACTGCTAAGGATATTTAAAGTTACAAAGTAAGTTAATATGAACTTTCATGATTTGGTCAATGCATTTCATCTCTACTGAGATAAATTTTCTTCCTCTCGAAGAACTGGTATTTTCTTTAAATACTTTAATTTCAGTAATTATCATCATGCTTGCCCCATGTCGGTTTTTATGGAACACAAAAATTTAGGACAGTCCAGTGATAATTCTATTTTTTTTGTTTTCAGATACTGGTCGTCTTTACGTAATTTGGTCATATCACTGCTCAATTCAATGCGCTCGATCATCTCCTTGCTGTTCCTTCTCTTCCTTTTCATCCTCATATTTGCTCTATTGGGAATGCAATTATTTGGTGGCCAGTTCAACTTTCCTAATGGCACTCCACCAACCAACTTTAATACATTCCCCATTGCACTTCTCACTGTCTTCCAAGTAAGTGTGTTGCACTAATCAATCTTTCATCTTATCCAACTTTTTAAACTTTTTTTAAGTACAAACCCTGAATAACCAACTCATTTGTTTAATTGCAAATTGCTTGTTTAGATTCTCACAGGAGAGGACTGGAATGAGGTGATGTACCAAGGTATCCAGTCACAAGGTGGACCTCAAAAGGGTATGGTCTATTCCTTGTATTTCATTGTGCTAGTGCTCTTTGGCAACTACACCCTCCTAAACGTCTTCCTTGCTATCGCTGTTGACAACTTGGCAAATGCACAAGAGCTTACAGCTGCTGAGGAGGAGCAAGAGGAAGAGGATAAGGAGGTAATATTTTTTATTTACGTACCAGTAGTGATTTTTTCTTTGCATTTTGTTTCCACGTATAACCCGTATTTTTTTAATTTTAGAAGCAACAAATGGAACTTGAAAAAGAAATGGAAGCACTACATGGACCTGATGGTAACAAACTTGATATAACATCGCCATCTCCATCCCACCCACAGTAAGTATAAACGTGATCGTAGCGATCATCATCCTATGGCTTCAACAAAGAAGTTTTACTTAAGGACTTCATTTTTATTTATACACATTATTGTAAATTTGAAACACTTCTTTTCTATCTTATTTACAGCGGTAAAAAGGGTAAAAAGAATGACGATGACAAAAAAGAAGAGGAGGAAATCGTTGGACCCAAACCTATGCTGCCTTACTCATCAATGTTCATTTTATCGCCAACAAATTCGTAAGTGAACTAAAACCCCGTTAGCAAGATGCCTCATGCGACAAAAGCTGCTCCATTATGTTAATTCTTTGGCCTTCTGTGGCAGTCGTATGGTATCAGAAAAGTAATGCAAAACCCCTGTTAGAAAGCGATGGAAGTACGGTTTGAGCCGAGTCGTACAGCAGAAATTGGCATTTTAACGCGTTTTACATTTTCTTAAATTTATAAGGTGTCTTTTTATCTCTTATCTAACGTGTCTCGTCTTCATTTCCAGCGTTCGTAGAGCAGCTCATTGGGTTGTTAACCTTAGATACTTTGACTTCTTCATTATGGTGGTAATCAGTTTAAGCAGCATAACTCTAGCCGCAGAAGACCCTGTTGATGAAGGTTCACACAGAAATGATGTGCTGAATGTTCTTGATCATGTTTTCACCAGCGTTTTTGCCGTTGAAATGTTGTTAAAGGTACTCTATCTTGAACTGTTTAGATTATGTATTTTTTATGCGTTATGTGTTCTAATTTCTGTAATTTTCAACTCTTCACTAGATACTTGATTTAGGGGTTATTTTACACCCTGGATCATATCTTCGGGAGTTCTGGAATATAATGGATGCTGTTGTGGTCATTTGTGCTGGTGTTTCCATTGGTTTTGACCTAGCGTGAGTTCCCTTTGCTATATGTTGATCTGCATTCATTTCAAATTATTGCTTCTAAAAAGGTTCTGAAAATTATACTTTTGATAATGCCCCTGGGTGGCCCAGTTGCCGTTCTTCTGGTTATACCGTACCGGATGCAGGCAGGCACGTGGCTTGCAAATTCAGAAGGGGCTGTAGAGTGCCTCAGTGAGCGACGGCACGCATGCGCACGCCTGCTCCGAGTACAATATTATCAGAAAAAAGAACGGCGCTAATAGACAACCCTTTATGTTCTCTGAAAAATAACGCCTTATTTGATCTCTACCTTTTACAGGGGGTCTTCTGCCGGTTCAAATTTATCAACTATTAAATCACTAAGAGTGTTGAGAGTTTTAAGGCCTTTGAAGACCATTAAGAGAGTTCCAAAACTGAAAGCGGTCTTTGACTGTGTTGTAAATTCTCTTAAAAATGTGATCAATATTCTTATTGTATATATTCTCTTTCAATTCATTTTTGCCGTAATTGCCGTTCAATTGTTCAATGGAAAATTCTTCTGGTGCAACGATGAAAGTAAATTTACAAGTGCTGAATGCAAGTAAGTAGTAATGGTAGTAGTAGTAGTAGTAGTAGTAGTAGTATTAGTAGTAGTAGTAGTAAAAAGCGAGAACTGTTCGTTTTTCTTTCTGTGTCCTGTGTATTACCTCAAACGTTTACTTTTCAGGGGCTATTACTTTGTATATGATAACAGTGATCAATTGCCAAGAGCAGAAAAAAGAGTTTGGCAGAAGCAGCATTTTCACTATGATAATGTTATGGCTGCTATGCTTACTTTATTTGCTGTTCAAACTGGCGAAGGATGGCCACAGTGAGTATTTCTTCCTTAACACTTTCTTAAATACATCTTCATCAGTTTCTCTACACAAGTTTTCTGCAAATTTTAGGGTTTTACAAAATTCCATGGCGGCTACTTACGAAAATACTGGACCTATTCAAAATTTTCGTATTGAGATGTCTATTTTCTACATAGTGTACTTCATTGTCTTTCCTTTCTTCTTTGTGAATATCTTCGTTGCGTTGATCATTATCACATTTCAAGAACAAGGAGAAGCAGAATTACAAGATGGTGAAATTGACAAAAACCAGGTAGAATACCCATTTACGTGATATGCAGTAAATATTGATATGCTTTAAGTTAACTTTTCATACCTCTTTGTTTTCCTTGTTTTGTACCTTTCTATACAGAAATCCTGTATCGATTTTACTATTCAAGCCCGTCCTCTTGAAAGATACATGCCAAAGGAGCGGAATAGTGTCAAATATAAGATATGGAGGATAGTAGTATCCACTCCTTTTGAATACTTCATTATGATTCTGATTGTGTGCAACACTCTTCTTCTAATGATGAAGGTACGTCTCCCTAATTAATCCCTTTTTAAAATAATGTATTTTTTAGGTGTTTTGAAATGATTACAATGTACCTGACAATGCAAACTCTTTTGATCTCGATATTATTTAGTCTTGAGTTTGGTACACTGTGAAAAATATTCTCGTAAATTTACGACATTTGTTGTAATTTTGATTTACAAAATATGTCGTAAAACTAACGATAGCACATTCTTGCTCATCTGTCAATTCCAAGTCGATATTTCAAATTGTAATTTTACGACTCTTATCATGGAAAATTTTCCCGTAACCCGTACGAGTATTTTTCACAGTGTAAAATATATCTTAGGAAAGAGGTGTAACACAAAAATAGCTTCTCTTTGACTGAGCTGAACTTCATTGCTAAATTTCGAATCGTCTGAAGATGAACACTAAGGATTAGGACCAGGGTACATGGTTTTATGTGAACCAATCTTGTGTTTCATATTCTTATACCAAATCTGAAAGAGACTAGTGCTAGGTGTCAGTTAAGACTCTCCGTGCGTTGAGTTGTGTAGTCCAGAAGACTTGGTGTCCTTTACATTTCTTTGTATTGTAGGGATATCCCCTTAGTGTGACGTATCGCACCAACCGATGTAGTCTTCCAATATTATAGTTATTAATAACCATTCGATGGTTTTCGAACCTAAGTGAATCCCTTTTCTGTTGCTATGCACAGATTATCTTTTAACAGCATCATATTATCTGAATCCTTTTTACTCACTTGACGGCCTAGCACCTAGCGCTATCTGTCATATTCATGGCTATTTGGCACCTTTTAAATTGCTTATTGTTTTCTACTTGGTGCTACTAATTACATATTGTTTTACATCATTTGATTTTATATTTCTTTTATAGTTATAACAATCTTCTATTCTTTTAAATTTCTACACTCTTACTTCCTTTGTTTCTTCCGTCCATCCTTCCTCTCACCAACCTCTCCATCCTGGCTGCACCATCTTAAGGGAGTGCTGTCTAGAAGCAACAACAACCAGCAGACAGCAGATTTTAAATACCATCGAGTTTACTAATTTCCATTAACATTTCAGCATTACATCTTTTTTCTGTCTCTCCAATATTTATTTTCTGAACTTTAAAATACAAATGTGTGCCGATACGTGCTGAAATTAGGTGAAATAGGGAGGTGCTGTCGCGGCTGTCAGAACAGCAGGACAGCAAAAAAGCATCTCCGGATTGTGTCCATATTTATATTCTCTAAGTTCAGGAAAGTATATTTGAATATTAAAAATCCGATTGTATGCCGAAATTTAGACGTTGTCAAATTATCGGTATTTACTTACTGCTGTTTGCTGTCTGCTTCCAGACAGAGCAATCCCTTAAGTTGATGCAGCCCCTGTCTTTTCTTCTCGCGCTTTCTGTCACTCTGCCAGTGTGTGTTTCTGTCCCTCTTCTGTCATGCTCTACTTTCTTTCTGTCACCCTTTCCGTCTCTTTTTCATTATCTCACTTCTTTCTTTTCTTTCTCTATACATCCGTCACTTCTATCTCTATCTGCTGTCTGTCCTCTCAAGGTCTGTCTGCTGCTTTCTTGTTTTACCTTAGTCTTAAGTTTTCATATAGCGAAAATAAATATACGTTTCGTTTCTTTTTACTATTGTTACCGTTACGCATGTTTCTTCTAAATTTTTGTGATGTTAAATCCATTGATTATGTTGCATTCATGCACTAACTGAACTTAATGTCTGCTTGTGTTATTCTTATTGTCATAACTGGAAGCATGTTGAAGCAGTGGAATGGCTGGTCTTGTTCTATTTAATTTAGATGTGGGAGTGTGATTGTTCAGCATGTCATGTTTTAATTTCGTTTTCGTTCTCTTTGTTAAACTTGCATGTTTGTCAGGACTCATCTTTTACAAAAACAAAATTTACGAATAATTAACTTCTGGAGTATTAAAGATACAGTACATGTACCAAAACATGTTATTCAAAATGAGATTTAAAATCGAGTTTTTGTTTTTCTATTTCAATTACTTTATGGTAGGCTTATAAAATAATACATTTTGTCTTGTTTTTCGTAACTCATTGAAGTTACAATTTTGGCTACTAGCTTCTCTGTGTGAAACTTAAGTCATAAATAACTGTTCTTATATGAAATTGTCTCGACGAAAACATTTGAAAGGGTGTAGTCCATATAGAGGATATCTCTTTAAGGGCTGGCCTAGCGGGCAGACGAGCGGGTAAGCTCGCGCAAGCGGTGGTGGAGGGTCAAGTGGTTTGTCTCATGTTATTAAAGCATAATATGAGTCACTTGATAAAATTGAGCCGTCACTTATCATCCCTCGCTTGCCTGCTTGGCCGACAAGACATTAGCCTCAGAACTGGCGTTCTTCTGCTATAGTGCTACGGAAGTTAATTTTTTACCTCCTCAGTCTTTTCTAGCACGCTGCATGTTGAGCATGGGCATTTCGATGCCAATACAGGGCAGGCTGGAGTGGAGGGGGTATGCAGTCACATGTCTTGTTATTGTCTTGTATTGTTATGTCAATTGATCATGGTTCCCACAAGTCTGGAAAACCTGGAAAGTCCTGGAAAGTCCTTGAAGGTCCCGGAATGTCCTAGAAAAATCGAATTTCTAGAATTACATTAAAAGTGTATTTTTAATTTTATATCATGGTATGAATTTTCGAATTCTGACGTGACAATGTGGAAATCCACATAAGTTTTTGATGCTCCCACCTAGAGTATTCCGGGGGGGGGGGCAAGAACTCTGGGAATCATGTGTACACCTGACGGGCAATCATCATGATAAAAATGGTTCAAAATCAACAGACATCGCGTAAAATGAGCGGGAAACTAGTGGAACTGGTACAAATTAGTCGAAATAAGCGTTTTCTGCCAATAGAAAACCTAAGGAATAAACATAAGCGGACTGGAATCACTGGGAATTAAGTATTTCGGGAATCATGTGTACACATCAAAAGAGAGTTATTGCCCCCTCGGTATTCCGTGAATTTTAAAATTATTTTTAACAGTTTTATCGTTAGGTCTCACCAGTCCCTAATATTTTATTGTAAATGGTCATGGATATTTTTAAAGTTTAGTCTGGCAAGTCCTGGAAAAGTCCTGGAAACGCCAGGAGCCAAAATGTAAGAACCATGATTGATGCTCTACTCTTGATTTTATTCTGTCTTTTCTGATTGCCGGTCTTGCTTGCATGAATTAATGCCAAAGATGCTAAATGGAGGTTTTGTAAGAGTTTCGAAACAACTAACGATCGTGAACTTTTCCTTAAGCGAATAATTTACGGTGTTTTTAAAGTAGATTTGGGCGTAGTTATGGTATAACTTTCCAACGTCGCTATCCATGACTTTAATAAAGAACACAAATTCATTTATTTGAAAACATTCCTGATTGGGATCTTTACATTGCCGTTTCACACCTCCATGGTTTTTGGTTGATTTTTGTCAACTTTTCTATTATATTTTTAATGAATCTATGTAATTCTGTGCTTAATAGTGAAGCTTCTGCAACTCCCCACGTCGTGAATTGGATAGGTGATTCTTTTCACCTCCAATCTGCTTGAATTCCTTCCTTGAGTGCTATGCTGTACTTGTTTGTGTGCAAGTGTGAAAAAGAAGTGTGCGCCGTAACATTTACTCTACTATTGTAATGTTTTGCTCTCTCGCTCTGTCGCTCACCAACTTATGGCGGACGTGACATCACATAGGTTCACAATCAAACGGACGTGTTCAAGATAACACTGCGCTACATGAACATTGGCTTCACCAGCATGTTTACCATTGAGAGTTTTCTCAAAATTGCAGCATTTGGAGTGAGGGTAAGCTACGCATTTGAGTTCAAATCTTATGTTGTCTTTCTTTTTCTTTTCTAAAAAATAAAAAGCTTTTCTTTCTGGAGACGTTACGCCCCCTTTTTCGTTTGTGTTGTTGGTCAGGGTTGAAGTAGTTCTCATGGGTTGTAAGTTCTTAAGACAAAGTCACTTGCTGAAAAAAGACCAATTAAAAGATGTTTTTTCGAGTTGCTTGCTTTAGAAAGTTTTCCTTCAGAATGCAGTCCTTTCGAAATGTGTAATCAGAACTGTGGACATCATACCATAACTTGTGGTTTTAGATATACTATTAAGAAGAATATCCTTGATAGCTTTTTGGTCATATGACTTCTTATACTTTTGAAAGTAATTATACGTCTGTATTGCATTAGAAAGGACTGCAGGTCTGAGCTCTACAGTCCAGTGTCGTTCAGGTAAGAATATTTCGTCTTTTCCAACGTTTCAGCATTATGATAATTTTATCAGGTATGTAGTGCCTCAGTGTTACTACTTCAGATGCTTTCCTTCACATACACATCTTACTCATTTAGGTTGAATAACATTTTCGAATCTTTCCTAAAGTCTAGAAGATTTTCTCATAAAATTACTAGATACTTTCCAGCCTATATTTCCCTTCCGCCTTTGGAAGATGCAGACATTGTCCTCTGTCCATTCTAAAAAATTGTTTGATGATGAACTGGAAAGTCAGTGCCAGGGAGGTTGCAGTCTTTCGTGGAATCATTTGGGGATTAAAAGGCCATAAGAGATAAGATGAAAGAGATAAATTTGTTTTGTCATATGTACTAAAATTGTACAGTATGTAGATTGCGTATGGTGCAATGCATCCTGTTAAAGGTCACATTGAAGTTAGAACTGCTAAAACCTATGGATTGTTGTGACTTGATCGCATTTTCATGGCTTGACATTATTAAGTATATTATTATGTAAAATCTATCGGAATCAAAAAGGCATGAACTAAACACCCAGCCACCATAATTTGACATTGTCGTGGTTACTAGCTGTGTACAGCCACTTGCCTTCTAAAAGTCATTTCAGTTTGCAAATTCCTGAGGACTGTTGCATGGACTACTTTAACACTTGCATGACCTTTGATTTTTACTAAATTACATCTAGTCATATCCATCTTCTCTTAGGACGTGCTGGAGACTGGAGATGGCTAATGTAATTTTACTAAAAATAAAATCTGTCTGAATTGGCTTTTAACAAGTTATGTTTGAAAGTTGCATGGCGGAAACAATGTATAATTGGCATGTGTGTTGCATGTGGATGGGAACGTATGTCGGTGTGTTGTGGTGTGCTTGTGTCTGTATGTGCATGGACATTACACAGCTTTGCATGTGAGTGTATCTCCATCTTGTGCATCTTGGGAATGTTTTGCATGACGTGCCAATAAGCCATGAATGATACGTAATGATTGAATTTTTAAAGGAGTACTGTAACCCTCATCATTGCTGTGCATTACCCCTCGTGATTTCGTGTACTTGAACTTTTAGAAATGTGTGTTGATGCATATTTGTAGCAATGAAAAACAGCATGGGAACTGATTCTAATGATTAGATGGATGTTTTGCAAAGGTCAGTGTGCAGTGCATGGTGTAGGTCGACACTCGAGACACACATAGAAAATTATGCACGATGCACATCGATAAAATGAAGAAGAGTACTATTATGTTCATGTTTGAATGTTTCATGTCTGAAGCACGTAGCCCTAGGAATGTATGTATTTTACTTCAACTAAACTGTAGGATTATTTAGCAAATGGCTGCAAAATTTTGGGTTCAGAGGTTTTTGATAGTGAACAAAAAACAGTGCTATTCACAGCATGGAAAACTTTACCTTCATGTTAATCTCGTATCCCTCACTAACTTTAAAAACCTACATCGTTTTCTAGTTCCACAGTGTAGCCTTTAGTTTTTTTCAAATAAAACGAGTGACGTTTCCTGAGTAAACTAGCTAGTAAAGCATTACATTCTTCCTAAGATTCTACCTCTGTTCCGAAGTGCCCCTCCTTTGGGCCAGATTTTATGTTTCCCTTGTTAATATTGTCTGGGATCGAATTAAGTACCAGCTATTTCTTTAGAGTATTTAGTGGTAACTGTTCCTTTTTTAATTATGTTATCTGGAATCTCCCTTTTAATTCGTTTGAAAGAATTCTCTTTACCCTTACACAAAGTATTAAATAGATTCATAGCTTTATGGTAAAGTTACACTATTTCTAAGAAACAAACCTCTAGCTTTCATACCTGCACATCTAGTTATTTACCACTAGTCAGCAGTTGTAGTTAATGTCTTCTGTTAGATATTGAAGGACACCTTGGCATCTCGGACATCTTATCTTTTTATGTATTTTCACGTTACATTCTGGGGAATAACAAAAAGTTGAACTTATCTGACAATACATATAATGTTTGCGCAGCTAGATATATAAATCTGGAATTAGTGTATATTACGTTCTGCAAGCTACGTCTTGCAAGGTTAAAGTCAGTTTGTGTACTTGCTGTGAATATAGTTGTAGTCTTAAAAATTTATGTGGTTTTATAATGTAAATTGATGAGTTATTGTTTTTGTTCCACGCGTGATTCTTCTCCTGGATAGTTCCACGATGCGCCAGCCCTGCTCCTCGACATTCTCACTCTTATGAACTCCATCTTCACATTTTTGTTTCTTCTTGAGTGTATACTAAAACTAATCGCGTTTGGATGTAAGGTAATCTAAACTACTTTTCCTATTTAATTTTTTTTAAAGGGGTAGCGAGGACAGATCATGACTTGTCCTTTGAGATAGTTTGAACTATCGTTTGGAGTTTCAGTAACCAGGAGAGTCAATGTAAAATGTGATAATAGGTATAGTTTGACACATAAGGGAGGGGTTGTATAAAGTTTGGTCGAACATGGCGGTTTGCCGTTTTTGCCTGGTACGTACACCAAACCCACTGCATTCAGCACTTCAGCCTTGTTAAATTTTTTACTGCCAAAAATATCACTGATAGATGAGGACTTACTTTTTACGTCCCATCTGCATGATTATACTCCAAGTTTTGGATAAAACTGTTAATTTTACTATAAATTTAAAAAAAACACAAAACAACTGCTTGGTAAGTACAATGTAGAAACTTACAAGTAATGTAATGTTACAGTAAAATATTATTATTGAAACTTTTATAATGAAAATAAGTCTTCTTGCTTTTGCCTTTAAATATTCCTCTTGAACAATAGAATGGTTCTAATTATTCACTTTTGAAGATGGTCATCTTTTTTGTTCAAAATGACATCTTGCTGTTTGACCGGAGCTTGTATCACAGTTAACATTACATTTTTGATCGGAGTACTTTAGACTAATAAGGATAGCCTTGATTAAGTCATCACACAACTAATTCTTCTCTTTCTGGTTTTCTGTTTTATTTTTTCTCTCCTCAGAATTACTTCAAGGATGCTTGGAACACATTTGACTTTGTCACTGTAGTTGGCAGCATCGTGGATGCCATGGTTATTGAGCTTGGGGTGAGTACTTTTTGATATACTAGTTGTTAACGTTAGATATATAAGCAAGTTTTACACAGCTAAAGCAAATATATAAAGGCGAACAGTTTTGACCTTGTCAACCCATGGACTACATGGACAAATGGTATATTTTCTATGACAGTCTGTGATGACAACAGAATGATAAATTCTGTTGCATTTCCAATGCTACATGGGATGGTTTCATCAGCAAAGTGGTTAACTTAAGATTTGTTCACATCATTTTGTAGGCCATTGTAGTTTTACATTTCTTTCCAAGTTCATGATGCACATACAGACTGTAGAGTATTCTTCGTACATTTACATCACCATCAGTTGCACAACATGCAAATACACAGTAACATGAGGACATTGCACACTGTCCTCTTTGCAACCGATCAACACTACAGTAGAGTAAACAAGAAAGAGCATAATAATTACCATAAGTAATTCTACTTTTTAGACTTGCATAATAGGATGCAAAAGTGGAGCATACTTGCATTAGGTCACTAAAGGTTTGGATCATTCAGAGACTGACTGATTTTGGTGTCCAAAGTATGGATCATTTTCAGTAGATGACCACTCACAATGGCGAATTTAAAACACGTTTCTCCTCACATTTTAGTACCTCTTACAAATAGGTATTGATAAAAGTATCTGTTTTTGGTTTCTTTCAGGAACTCCAAGATAAGGCAAATATCACCTCGGTTTGTTTTTGTATCGGTTTCTTAAAGAATTCCAGAGCCCTGTAAATTTTGCAGTGTCTCTTTTTGATTTATCTCAGTACATAGTTATTAGAACTGTTCCTCCAAATTTGGGTGGTATTATTACCTTCTTTATGTATTTAATTTTTTGAAAGAGAACTTTCGGTACAATTTCATATCTTCAAAGTTGTTAACAATTTCTTCCTCATCCTTTTTGAGAACCCAATCGCCTACTGGAGATAGGTCAAGTAGAGACCGTTACGTTGTATGATCTGGTTATTAGCTAGAGCCTTCTAATTTCTGTATTTGTAGTTAAGAGTGCAGGAGTCAGCGGCCTCACCAACGCCTGCAGTAACTGCAACAATTGCTGGGTTACAATCGTCCCATGGCCTTTAATAACTACTTCTTTCCGTTCATACCTGTTTTTTTTTCTTCTCTTGATTTTAACTCTAAAACATTTCAAATTATTCATGGGGTTGTACGAGCCAGTAATTCGTTGGTTGTGTGCGTGGCATAAGTGAGAACCCCGCCGCATAGCAGTAGTGAGCTAACAACACACAACACATCGCACAAAATTGCAACTGACAATTTTACTCACTGTAACACACATGCAATAGCCACATTATTTGGTGTCTGTGGTTTTAGAGCTTTCCCTTTTTTGTGGAAGTACATCACAGTTTTTACGAGAAAACGTGATGTACGCCCAAGTTTTAGCTAACGGGCAACTTTGTCTTGTTTTTATGTCTTGGACTTATTTCAAGTGAATTATGATTAATTCACATAACGTTTTTCTAATCTTGAACTCATTTATTAACATTGAATCCATTTTTGGCTAACACCTTTTTTGATTATATATCTATTTAAAATTTTTACCTCACTAAACTTGGTTTTGCAAAGGTTTATCACAGCTAATCTCAAAAGGTTCATTTACATTCCAAGCTCACTGTGTAGCACTCTGTACCCTGATACATCGCTGATTGTTGTTTCCTACCAAGATAGTGTTTCTTTTATTACACATAGTACAGTTACAGTAGGCATTCTCTCTTTCAATGTTAGATGTCTTGTCAGTTTTGTTTGTTCAAACTATTATATTCATGGGCTTCGTTCTGACTTCTACTTCTTTTAATTTTTCCTTCAAACAGTTAGATTTGTTACTAATTCGTATGCATCTTCCTACACTACGTTTTAAAGAATCAATCAAAAAGTTTTCTTGTAGTCAGGCTACAAACTACACATCTTTTCCACTTAAGTTTCAATCATAGGACTTTTTCATTTTAAAATAGAATCTTAATAGTTTGCATATTTTATGTAACAAAGCTCTTCGCGAAGTCTGTCCCTTATCTATGTCTTTGAACTATCTGAACTTGCACTATGTAAGATTAAAGAAATGCTTGCTTTGTGACATTTCACAGCTGTACATAAGACGACCATCCTCACAAAATTAATTGTAGAGTGGTAGAATCACACTTTAGTGGTTTAGTCTGTGAAATAGTTCAGTGCCACACGTATCAGACTTTCCATCATGTGTGTTCTGTGTTTATTACCAGTAAGTGTTTCCCAAAAATGTGTCCTGGTAATTCTATATATCAATTTCCCCACCCTTAAATAAAATTTTGCGTCCTGTACCAATAGATTTCGTTTCTCTTTCCCTTCAAAATGACAAAATTATTGTGTGGCTGTTTTTCCCAGAGCTGGTGTCCTAATTGCAAATGTTGCATAATAGTACTAAATCAATATTTGTATAGGAATGGTATTTAGTTCCTTTTTTATTTAGAAACTAGTCCCTAGAAGGAAATAAATTGCAGCGGAGTAGGAGTTAATGTTTTCCTTTATCATAACCTTTTTTCATATAAACAGAATTTATTCTAGCCTAGTACTGTTGTTCCCCGGAGTAGACAGAAAAATCTTTTCCAGGCATTTCCTGTGTTAGTTGGACGTAGGGAATAGTTCGTAACATTACATGTACTAACGTCTCTGTTCTCTGTTCTCAGACTAATTCAATCAATGTTGGATTTCTGCGCCTTTTTCGAGCCGCCCGCCTTATCAAACTTTTACGGCAAGGTTACACAATTCGTATTCTGCTGTGGACATTTGTTCAGTCTTTTAAGGTAATTCTCTATCGTTTATATTAAGCGATGTGTTAAATACAATCGTAAACTGATGAAAAACCTTTTTTTATGAATAGGCCTTGCCGTACGTCTGCCTGTTGATAGCCATGCTCTTCTTCATCTATGCCATCATAGGAATGCAGGTATGTTTTTAATTTCCAGTCTAGGGTTCTTCAAGCCATCCAGTCTCTTTATCAAAGTCACACCTCGTTGGCTTCAAAAAGAATCGTAACCCCCACTTGAGGACCCAACTTGCCAGACCGTGCCAGGAAACAAGTGTAACTGATGGCAGTGCGGAGAACTATGGTACTTCCCTAGGAGCCAGGCTCGACTACAGCTCTCCACATACCCGCCAGTTACACTTGTTCTCATGTCTAGCTTGCCGTACTTGTGTCGACAAGAGGAAGTTACACTTTTTATTTTCCAAGCCAACGAAATCCCGTGTTCTGAAATCTTCTCAATATTCTTACATCTTTCCAGAAGTGTAGAGTAAACTGGATTGTGTCTTAGTGGACCAGCAATGATTGCTTTGTGAACCTGCTCAGAGTACATAATAGTTCCTTGCTAAATTCGCCCGGTCGTAAAAAAAATCCCCGTTAATAATGGTTTTAGATCTTATTGTTACTATTTACAGGGATTTCTCTTGTCTTTCCTTCTCTGTCATGAGGCACAACTGTTTCCCCTTATAATATTTTCGGTTCGAATTTCTTTATGAGCTGTGTGTATCACCACAAAGAGAACTTCTGAACGCGTATCCAAAACCTGTTCTCTAGGTCTTCAGTACCTGAGACTGTTATGCTACGTTTGCTTAGGACACAGAAGGAAAGTTCAACAGTGACTGATTTTAATGTTTCATAGGGAATGATTCAGATGAATGATAAACAAACCAACAAATTGTGTTCTGTATGTAGTATTAGTAGAAATGAAGACGAATTGCTGACGAGATGACTTACTATAATTTAATTAGTGTGCATTATTTAGTTGGTCAAATTTCAGGATGTTAAATCTGTTCAGAGGATGTTTTGTGTTGGAGGATAGATAAATAGTGACTTTAAGTAATTTGCTCTTCTTTGACTTTCTTAATTGTTTTATCGTAGCTTAATCTAGTGTTTTCGATTGGGTGGGTTGGGGTCTAATCAGTAGCCCGACGCTTAATATGGCATGTCGGGATAGCCGCGTAAGAATTTAGCCTGACTTGTGACAGATTCTGAATCAGCGGCATTTGGCTGCACTTCACACGTTCGCATTTAGATCAGATCCCCGTACCAGCCAGGACAGAAAGGGGGGGGGGGGGGCCGCGACGGCACCTTGTGTTGCTGTGTGGGCATTGCATGGTGATTCCGCACAGTGCTTTGTGAAAAATTTTTGGTCCTGAGCACCAAACATTTTGTCCCGAAACCGAAAGTTTTTGACGCAGTGTAAAGTTGTGCCTGGGCAACAAAGTTTTGTTGCCAAGCATTAAAATTGTGTTGCCACGTACAGTAATTTTACCGGCGGGAACTAAATTTTTTGTCCCAGGAACAAAGTAGGACGCACTAAACAACCATCTAGTGCCTGGCAGGAAATTATTTTCTTAGCAGTGTGGCTAGTTTTTCCCTCTTCCATCTGATGCCAGTGGCTTATGAGTGTAACAAGGACAAAGGTGTCTAGCGAGCATCACTGCAAACGCCATAATCGCCTAGCTTGCCAAGGTTTTGGCACTACTTTTTAAATGCCATATTTTGGGCGTCCTTCGGCCGTTATTTCACAGAATTTAACGCCCTTTTGAAGTAAGCAAACTTTTGGCTGTGGGCTTTTTAAAAGACGAATTTGGCAAGAAATAATAAAAATGCAAAACAAAAAAAAGCAGTGTTCAAAAGACGGCTAAAAGAGTTTTCGCTGTGAGACTCAGGGTGTCTCGCACCTGGTAGAGACCAACATGGTGTGTTGTAAAGTCTCACACCAAATGGTGTAGGACCATTTAGCCTCACACCAAATTGTGTAGGACACTTTAGCCTAACACCAAAAGGTTTGAGGCTGTCTCACACGTGAGTTTTCGGAGTACGTCATATTTTCTTATCTCGAACCCTATGCAAGTGGTGATTCCGGGTGTTTGGAACTATCATTTCAGGATCTTTTGATTGGGAAAATACTCTTGGGAAGTGTAGTTTGGGAGGTTCTTATTGGGATTTTAAGAATAGGGATATAAAATTTTGGAAATTTATCAACTGGGAATTTATTTTTGGGAAAAGGGGGAGACAACAGCCAAAACTTGTCAAGCAAAGAGAAGCGTAAATTTAGGCAAGCTTCGCGACCACGGCGCTTGGAGTGGATACCTGCCACCAACAGCACGCGTACGTGACAAATACAGCTGCAGTCGGCCTCGCGTGAACTTTGAAAATTAGGTGTACGTGATTTAACCAGCTGCAAAATAGTCGCCAGCTGGGTGGCAGACAGTGGCGCGTGGTTTGCATAAACACAAACGCAGGGACCGCCTGAGCTTAAGAGAAAGGAGTAAGGAAAAGGGTTTGGGGGCTACTGGTAAAGACAGTCAGGGGGGCTGTCTAAAAAGTTAAAATAGTTATTGGGCAATAAATCACTAAAGGTAGGTGCACGCTCGGAATCGGAGTGGGGTGCCCACCAGGCCCTGGCACAGCGCTATGTCTTTTTTGCAACGAGCGAGCGCCGATTTCAAACCAACTAGATCGAAAACACTAGCTTAACTCATAGGTATTTGGTCACAGTACTCTTATTATATTGATTTTTCGGAGAGGTAGTTTTGCTGATGCTTTATGGACTAGACTAGTCCTTTAAGAAATAGTCAAATTAGAGGCAGCAATCTTTACTCTCATCCTCCTGGGCTAGTGTTAGGATCGTCGCATCAATGTTTTTTGTCTACATGTATATTATAATATAAATAATTATACATATTTTTTAAAAAATGATTTACCCTGGGAACAAAATTTACCAATTTTGTTGGTAAAGATATCTCAAATTTATTTTGAAGGAGAAACCTTAGCTTATTTCTAATTGACAATTGTGCTCTATCTAAGAGTAAATGTAGTTGATAAAAAAGAGCGTGAGTGGAAATGGGCATTTTTATCATCAAGAATTGTGTTTCACGCCTGCCCTATTCAAGGTGTTTGGGAACATGGAATGTGACCCCAACTCGGCCTTCAATCGTCATAACAACTTTCAGACATTCTTCGGTGCTCTTTTACTTCTTTTCCGGTGAGTGAGGTGCGCGGTGGGCAAGCGTGGACCATTCCCTTTCCCCTGCCTAGAGCTTGTCGAGTCAAAACTGTAAAGCTGCACCCAAAAACAAACCGATAGTTATTCTCAATTTGTGTGCGGTTTCTGTCACCAATTTACAGTTGGCTCGATTTGCCTCTTACATCCTCAACCCAATCCTGCAAAACCATTTCCATGACTCTTGCGACTTGGTAGCTAGCAGCCGCATGTCTCCTACCATTCCTAAATTATGGTCCTTCTGCCCGCCTCTCACTACCGCCGCCATTGCTGGGGTCTCCAGGCCGCTAAACCAAATGCCCATTGCTTTGGACCTTAGCTCTCGAAGGGCCAAAACCTTGCAATTTCAAGGTTTCCTCAGAGTAATTCAAGACTTTTTTTCTCAAATTTACGTCAAGAATTTTAAGTACTCAATCCAAGACTTAGGGCCTTTGGTCCCTTCTGGGACAGCGGTCTCTTGACTTCTGAAGGAGCAAATGGCATCACATCCAGTTGTAGTGCACTATTGGAGATGCCATTCGCATTATGGTAGTGTGTGGTGCGCTGCCCTGTCCTGTGTCTAGTAGCAGAATAGTGCTTGGTCTGAGTTGGATGTCTACTTACTGTACAGAATGCTCAAGCCCAAGGCAACCGCCGACTGATATGAATATTTGCTGTGTTTCGTGCTAATATAATGAAGTGTAAAATCATCTCGCATACATACAAATGGCGGTTTCCTCCACGGCAGGCAACTAACACTAATGTGTACTTGTTGATGTTGTTGTTGTTTTGTTGTGTGTGCTACGCTTTAGCAGGAAATCTAGTTCATCCCATGCATCTCGGACCCATTTAACCTCATCATACCACATAGAACTATGATGCATTGAAGAGGTTGGCGCAGTGAAAGAGACACTTAAATTGTTCAAAATGGACTCACTGATTTATTTTTGTCTTCAACCTTTCAATCTAATTGTTCAATGAGATAGGCATAATCACCATGAAACTTTGTGACTCTAGAACTGCGCTGTCACTCAAACTGTGGTAGCTTAGAGCAAGTCCGTGTCGTGTCAACGTCAGCCGGTAGATGTACCATGTAGGATGAGTGTGTAGATGCTGCTGCATTGCCTGTTTGTTAATGCCACCCTTTTCTCCACATGCATCCGTTTGGCGTCATCCATCGCAGGTGTTTGGTAATATTGCACTCGACCCTGAAGGTTCTATTACAAGACACAACAACTTCCGCAACTTTGTTCAGGGCCTAATGCTACTCTTCAGGCAAGTAATCTTGCGCTCTTTCCTTTAAGTCCGTACAACATACAATGTGCAAGGTATCATAATGGTATTGATTTCTTTTGCAACTTTCCCCATACATGAAGGACAGATATTTCTATATTATGTACACATGACATTTAGATCACAATAGATAAGATATATTAAATACTTTTTAATATTCTAGTTACTTCTCTTAGGATGTTTTACTAGGCCTTTTTAAAAGTTAAATAGCATGACTTAGGATTAAAAATTCTTTTCATTCATTCCTTTTCGCAAAAATTTTACGTTAACTGCCTTTACTGAAAGACTAACTGAATCTGTCTTTGTGTGTGTTAATGTTTGCACTTGCTTTAATGTCAAACTAAAAAAATCACTTACTTTAGAGAAAGCTAAGAAACTTTTTGAAAAAAATTTAAGTCGGTTCTGAACGCTTCTTTTTTAAGTCTTTCCCTAAAAATATAACTGTAAAACAACACTACAGTTTTAACTGCAAAGCTGAAGTTTAACCGCCGGAACTATTGCACTAGTTGTAAAATAATGCAGTTGAAACTGGGTACTTTAAGTTTTGCTGTGAAAAGTGCCATGTTGTAACACCGTGTTACGGATTGGTCGGGTTCAGATCTCGCACAGAACCCGACTCCGGCGAGTCGATGAGCGAGTCAGACTGCCTCTTCTGTCTCTCTCTGCAGTCGGCTAAGCAGCCAAATCAGGTCGGCTCGGGTTCGCTCTTGGAGGGCGTCGGGTCGGGTGCGACGCGCGAATCCGACCGATCCGGAACACTGTTGTAACATAGTCAGATTTGCGTAGACTGGAAGACGCAGGGGTCCGTTTCTTAACAAGACGTGTTTTCTACTCAACATAAACGGTAACGTTACATACTGTTTGCGGATAAAGGTTAAAATTACTCGTTTGACTTAAAAAAACGGGCCTCAGGGGCGTAAAATGGGGCGGCTGAAAGGGAGGGTGTAGGGCAAGCTGCCTACATACAGGGGTTTTGTAGCTCATATTGGCTACCATTTAGGCTGCTATCTAGGGCCACCACGAGCTCGATCGCCTCGCCCCCTACTCTTCCCTCCTTAATACGCGCCTTCCGCGCCTGCACCATCGTACATTCGATGTCTCTACTCATATTGCCCCCTCGTGCAATCAAGTCGGGTGTATTTGCTGTAGAGATCGGTTAAACTTTACATTTTCTGGATTGCTTAGCAGGGACCCCTTACTTAACGTATTGTCGTTACTTTACAAGTTCCCGGCACGAATTTAATGCCCATAATAATTTTGTTACGTTATTGTGACGTAACTTAATTTTAGCCATTTACGTTACACAGGAGGAATAACGTATTTAATACAGGAATTTTTTAACGGTCTTTCGGTGCAAGGGTATCGGCTTATAGCTCAGGAATCGTGAACGTAGGATATTGGGGAGTATCTCGCAGGGCTAACGAAATAATAAATGAGTAACTTTTTTGTAAAACTATATTTCTTACTTTACCGTTATAAGTTACGTCTCGTAACCCGTAACAAATCAATTTTTTTGTATTGCGGTACGAGGCACTTAACGAGAAACTTTTTTTTTTTGGCAACGAAAACTTTGTTAAGTTACGGGTCACTGGCTAAGGAGCGTTCAAGTGTTAAGTTATGGACCTCTGGGAAAAGAAGGATGGGAGAAGGCACTGGGGTTATGTGCGAGTGCATGACTTGAGGGCGCAACCATTATGCTACTTTTTGCACTAATTCGTATTTACACATAACTTTGGCACTTAACACTCACAACAATCACAAACTACTAGGGGAATAATAGTAAAAGACCTACAAGCAAACCTTAGGAACTTTTATCTGGGTGGCCACGCGAGAAAAATATTGCTGCAGGTAAGGTGAGGAATATTGATCGTGGGTCAGGGCAAGTGACATTTTCAAGATTCTACGGGGCTTATAATATTGCTTAAATCATACATTAAGAGCTCAGTTAAATTGAATGGAGAGTCGGGAAAAGGGCAAGAAATTAGAAAACTCAGACGCGTGGCCACCTTGTTTTAGAAGCTTTTGGAGTCCTTCAGTTCTATATACTAAACTATACTTCTGCATGCAGCTTTTATTAAGAATATAAATCTGTTATGTCCCTTAAAAACACTGTAATACTTTGATGAACCAAGTTTTCTTTTTTTGCAACTACCGGTCGTTAAAATCATTATTTCAATTATTTTGTTTGGCCTTATTTCGCCCTTTTTGAAGAAAGCCCAGCCACTATGCTCTCCTTTCATTTTGTGTAGACATCTTAACCAATTTACATTTAAATGTGAGATAATTCTCTTTTGATTTATTTAAATGGCCCTCAATATAATTTCTTTTACCATTTGCTGTAAATGACGTTCCCGCCCATTTTCCCAAGAAGTGTTTTTCAAAAATCATTTTTCTGATTTTAAATCTCGGGCTGAAACGCACTTAGTTCAACCGTCTGTTCCAAGACTAACGCACCTCAGCCACACCCTCCAAATGCCATGCAGCTCAGCCTCTCAATCAAAAACTCACGCAGTTCCCCGCTCTGCTCTAGGGCGCCAAACAGCGTGCCTTTCGGAACGCATAACTGAACTGCGCCTTTCAGTCAAAGGTGCCGTTTTCTCGACTCGATCTGCCCCACAAAAATTTCCAGTCAGACGTTTCCAATGAAAAATATTTTGTATATATATAGCTTACGTGAAATTCCTGTAGAAATTCTTACAAAATTCTTCAAAACTTTTGTAAAGCTACGCGGTACACGGTACACATATTTAATTTGTTAATGCACGTTGACCTACGTTTCTATCTAAAATAGCACAAAGACTGTTAAAAGAGCGTCAGGAATTGCGTACCGGAGTTTGTTTTTTTTAAACTTAAAGGCGCAACTTCTCTTTTCCTCTTTCGAATAGTTACCTTTGCGGAAGGTGCGTTGTGTGAGCATTTTCGTTTCGATAGTGTAGAAAATCTTAAAAATTAAAACTTTTCAACCACGAAGGATACTAACAAACAACAGGACGGGATAGAATTAAAATTTAATCCCACGTCTGACTTGGAATTCCTTTGCAAACAACGTTACTTTTTAAAAAGCTTTGTTGGTAGTAAAAATGCGTTGGAAAAGCTTTTACAAAAAATCTCATTGAATATCATGGCCGGGTCTTGGATCTTATGGAGAACGCCATTGGCATCTAAAACTTCAGTCTTGAAATTCAAGGAATTTGTTTTACTGTGTATCGGAAAAAAGGTTTAAAGAAATCTTGAGAATTTTTAGTGATAACTTGGAAAACACTTTAATTGGAAAAAACTATGAGTGAAATGACCGGGAACCTATAAATAAATATATTGTTGAAATTCCGAAAAGTCTGTGAAGAGAGAAGAATTTTGGCTAAAGCTGCTTTTCCATTACTCCTCTCCCCTGCAAATGTATATTTTTTACTGTGATGGCTTCTTGCTTGTGTTTTATATATGTATATTTAGAGAGGGATTCTCTCTCTCTCTCTCTTTCTCTCTCTCTCTTTCTCTCTCTCTCTCTCTC